GGAGAGGACACAGGACGCCCCTTTGGGCCCACCGTGCCCCTTCGAAGGGGTGGCCTGGACCCCAAGACCCCCCCCACAGGGTCCCCCACAAGGCTGTTTCACCTGCATCGCCAAACCCCCGGCTCTCCGACAAGCTTCACCCGTCCTGTCTCCTTCTTCCGCCGTTTATCTCATGGAGAGCAAGAGCTGCAAAGGGGACAGCCTGCGGCCAGCAGTCCCGTGCAAACACTCCGTGGAGAAGAAGACGATGACCAACCCCACCACCGTCATCGAAATCTACCCCGACACCACGGAGGTGAATGATTACTATCTCTGGTCCATCTTCAACTTCGTATACCTCAACTTCTGCTGCCTCGGCTTCATCGCTTTGGCCTATTCGTTGAAAGTGAGTGCTGAGCGTGACACACGGGGTGAGGGGTGGCCAGAGAGGGGACGGAGCATTTGGGGGTCGTGCCTGATGGAAATCACATCTTTGCCACTCAGATGAGAGGTGGGACCCACTGGGGATGGGGATGGGGAGAGCCGAGGTGTGCTTTGGAGCTGGGGATGTTGTTTCAGGTGAGGACTTGCTTGGGTACCCTCAGAGGCTCCTCTGTACGGGGTGACAGGCAGCCAGGGCTGGCTCAGCTTGTGCTGCACCCACAGGCACCCCAGCCCTCGGTCCCTTCTTTGGGATCCTTTTGGTTAGAGATCTGGTCAGGGTAGGATCCAGCAGCGTTGGATGGTAGGGCAGAAGCGATGAGAAGCAGCCGGCCAGGATCAGTCAGTGCCTGGCACGTTGCGGAGGGGAGAGGCTGCCAAGGTGCAGGGCAATCCTGCCTGTTTCCTTCTTGCCCTCTCCCAAATTAAACCACAAGAGCTGGTGGCTGGGTCCCCCAGCCTGGACCCTATAAATCCCAAGACAAGCCCTGGAGCTCTGCCAGTGTTGTGGGGACAAGCCTGGGTAGCTGAGGAGGAGGAAGAGGATGCAGGTGGGCTTTGCACAGCATTGGGGCTGGTGGAACCAGAGCCGTGTTGATGGAGAGGGCGATGGTGTGAAGCTCAGCCAGGGAAGGGGATGGGACTGGGATACTCCCACTAGCTGCAGGGGAGAACCGCCCAGCAGCCCCTCGGCAGCTGCGGGGCGAGCTGGGGGGAGAGCTGGTGGGCTGCCCTGCCCTTCCCTGCCTCAAAACTAAGGGATGGGTGTGCCAGGAGCCTGGGGCAGCTGGGTGGCCTGGGAGAGGAGTTGGCTGATTTGTTTTGGCAGCAGCGTTTAGAGAAGGCCAGGGTGCAGACAGGCTTCATCACAGAGCAGATCAATTAACCCCATCCAGCTCCCGGGAGCGGGGCTGCGAGCGCCCAGCGCTGCCAGGAGGATGCTCACGAGTCCATCAGTCTCCAGCAGAAAAGCTCAGGGTCAAGTCCATGGACCTGTGTCCTGGGCTCACCCAGCACTGGCACCGTGGTGTCTGCCTCAGTTTCCCCTTCAGATGAGCGATGAGCACCCATCTTGGCTTCACTGCTGCCTTGGTGAGGCACTGAACAGCTTAAATCATGCTGGGGCTGAGCATCACCACAAGCAGGACTGGCCCAAGGACAAATCCAGGCAGGGCCAGCCTGGCCCAGGGTGGGGAGTCCCTCAACACCCCCACTCATTCAGCCAGCCAGGGAGAAACTAATTTCTTCCTTTTTTTGTCTCTTTGCTCATCTGAATTTGCCTCTAACGATCAGTGTCCTTCCCACGCAAGAGGCACGGCCACAGCGGGCTGAGAATAAGAAAGGGTTTCACATCACAGGGACATGGCAGGAGCTACAGCTGGTGTCTGGGGAGACATGTCCCTCAGCTTCAGTGGGGACAGGACAGACTGAGGATGAGGCTGACCCATCTCCAGGGGACAGGACTGAGTAGGATCTGCCACCTGCAAAGCTTGTAAAGGCTGGACCCTTTCACTATCCTTGACATGAGGTGGAAGGAAGGGCAAAGCACAGAAGGAACCCAGGGCAGAGGTGTGGGCTCAGCATCCCACTGCAAAGGTCTAGAGAACATCAACTCCAGTGTGGAAAAAAAAAAAGAAGCAGTGGTGGGGAAAGGCAAATGAACAAACATGCTCCAAATCAGGGAAAGGAAAAGAGAAGATGGCTGTCAAAAACCAGCTGGTCAAATATAACGGGGTTACCTAAATAGATGCAGATATAACCCTGCTCTGGTCCTGGAGAAACCCAGTGGCTGGGACTCTATGACAGGGAGGTAGAAGCCTCAGAGGCACAGGACAGGGCTAGTGAGTGGCCAAAGGGATGGTGAATGTCCTGACAGGCTGCTGTTGGGATGGGTGGTGGGAGGTAATGGAGATGCTGGGGCAGTAGCAGAAGAGTCATCCTAGGGCAGACCACTGGGATGTTAAGAAAGACGGGATCCTTCCTCACTCCCAGCTACTGCAGAGACCTTCACGCCATCCCAGCCAGCTGGATGTTAGGATGGTTTCTCCAGAAGCCTGTTGTTTTCATCTCTTTTACAGTCAATAAGGTATTTTTCCCTGAGAAGTTCAGAGAAAGCAGAAGCAAGGAATACCCTGGGGACAGATGTCCCTTTAAACAGCCTTCTCTTGTTCCTCTGCAGTTCCATGTCAAGACAGTTTAGCAGCAGAGCAGTCCCAGCCTTTCCAGGAGGTCTGTGCTCTGCAGAGACTGTGTGAGGGGCTGTGGGAGGGAGAGGAGGAGATCATAGAATCATAGAATCACAGACTGGTTTGGGTTGGAAGGGACCTTAAAGCTCATCCAGTCCCAACCCCCCTGCCAGCAGCAGGGACACCTTCCACTAGACCAGGTTGCTCAAAGCCTCATCCAGCCTGGCCGAGAACACTTCCAGGGAGGAGCTTCTCTGGGCAACCTGTTCCAGTGTCTGACCACCCTCACAGTGAAGAACTTCTTCCTAATATCTCATCTAAACCTCCCCTCTTTCAGTTTAAACCCATTTCCCCTTGTTCCATCATTAACTGTCCTTATAAAAAGTCCCTCCCCAGCCTTCCTGGAGCCCCTTCAGGTACTGGGAGGCCGCTATAAGATCTCCCCAGCGCCTTCTCTTCTCCAGGCTGAACAGCCCCAACTCTTTCAGCCTGTCAGCAGCACCTTCCCTTCCCTGAGCCCATTCTGGGATCTCTGATGGCAGAGCCCTTGGCCAGTGGAGCACAGGTTTCCTGGCTGAAGGGCCATCTGGGCACGGATGGCATTAAACAGTTCCCAGGTTATGGTTTCTCCATTTCCTTTAAACTGAAACATCTGGCAACCTCAGGAACCGTCCTTCTCATTATCAGAAACAGCATTTTCAATACCTTGCCATAAACATCGTCTGCTTTGGCCAGACTCATACCATTAATAAAGCAGTAGCTCCTTCACTCTCCAAGTCCATGAGATGTTTCCTCATGGACCTTAACACATCTTAGTATTTCCACCAGTTTCAGCAGCACGATGCCCACACTGGAAGCCAGATGTGTGCTTAGGTACACTGGAATATTACCATAAAGCTGTCTCCTGCCCCAGGCCCACTTTTATTGGGTTCACCTGCAGCTGAGAAGACAGCACCTCCACATCTGCCTGACCTTTTGCACGCGAGCTGCAGCCTTCTAGATTTCTTTCTTCAGGGAAATGCTATTCCACAGTGACCACAATCTACTAAAAAAAAAATGCCAGGAACCCACCCCAGCCCCAAAGAATTGATCCTCTCGCTCAAAGAAACACATGAAGTCAGGTGAGGCCAAAGATGTGACATCCAAGCCAAGTACTCTGTGTGACAGACACCCTGGCCAAGTGCTCTGAATAACAGTGTGACGACACTCCTTGTCTTTGTTTACACCCACAGTGGGCCAGATCCTCAGCAGAATCCAGGCTTGCTGGAATGCAATGTAGTGGCACCGACTCACGTATCCCTCCAGGGTTATTTCTAGCATCTGGAGCTTCTCAAGGTCAGCCCACCCCTGGCACTCAAGCATGCATTGGTGCTGGGGAAGGTAAACAGCAAGAGCAGGGAAGTTAGAAACGCTAAAGTAACCTTAACCACAGCCCAGCACGGATGTGAGGATCGCTCCAACAGCGACACTTTGGGTTCAGTTGGGTTTCATCACGCTGTGGGCTGATATTCAGCAGATCTTTCCGTTCCTCTTTCCCAGCTCCAAGTGGGAATGAATGATGCATCAGTGCCTGGTGGCAGAAGATCTCCCCTCAGTTGTTAGGAGGTCCATCTCTGGAGACCACTGAGATAAGCCAAGTCCTCAGTTCCCATTACACCATGAGGTGGTAGGTCAGAGGAGCTGGGATCTGAGACCAGCTGTGGTACAGATGCCATGTTCTGGTTGTATAGAGATAAAGATGACAAGAAGTTGTACCAGGGGAGGTTTAGATTGGATATTAGGAAAGATTTCTCCACTGAAAGAGTTGTCAAGCATTGGAACAGGCTGCTCAGGGAAGTGTCACCATCCCTGGAGGTATTTAAAACCATGTAGAAGTGGTGCTTAGGGACATGGTTTAGTGGTAGACCTGTCAGTGTTGGGTTTACGGTTGGACTCAATGATCTTAAAGGTCTTTTCCAACCAAACCAATTCTATGATTCTATGAGAAGAAGCTTTTTAAGCACCACCAACAGGTTTGCTCACAGAGTTTTCCTGCCCCTCGAGGCCACCAAAATGTGCCCTGGTGTTGATGGCACCCCAGGAGAGTTGAGCTGGCCCTTAGCACACAGCTCTGGGCACGGCTGTTTGCTTTCCCCTCTCACCGTGTGTTGACCTTCCCCGTTTTGAGTGGAAGCTGCTTGGCATGAATCCGTAGCTATTTATTAACCCCAAGAAGCAGAGAGGCTGCAGCACCTGACCTCTCAGGTAGGTTCTCAGCTCACTTTTTGGGAGGGAGGAGCAGTGGTTTATGGAGGTGATGAAATGCAGAGGCGACAGCCTCCTGATACCGGTGCCGGCGTGGTGTGGAGATATGTGATGGAGGGTTCTTGACCAATTCACAGAGCAAATAAATCCAAGGGTCTCCTCCAGAGCTCCTCATGGGTAGGGACACAAAGCTCTGCATGGAAATGGCTTCACAGACGAGCAGCTGTGGGCTGCGTGCTCAAAGCCCAGCTGCTTTAAATACAGCCTCATTAGGCTCGTTATCAACAACCCATCCGTCTCCTCCTGCAAGCTGAGGCAGCACTTTGTACCCGCACAACAAGTTCTCTGCTCCCAAAAATGAGAGGGGCCAAGCCCCAGAGCAGAGAGAGGGGAGGTGGCTGCTGGGGAACGTACTGGGAAGAAGTGGGATGGTTGGAATCAAGAGGTGTGGTTGGAGAGGAAGCTGAGGGCAAAACCCCAAAGGGAGGAAGGGCAGGAGGTGGTGGTCAGAGAGAGGAGAGAAAGAGCCCTTAGG